TCCACGCATTCATTAAGAACCTTCATAATAGCACAACAACAAAAACACAGTCAAAAACACATGCCTGCAATATTCACGAGAATCTTAGGCCTTTGTTTGAGATTAGCAGAATTATTACCTTCTGCTTCTCTGCCAATTCAATGTGGTCAAACTTGGGGTCGTTAGACACAGCTGCCTCTCTGTAGCTGTTAATACAGTAACCAAGCTGATCAATGACCGATCCTCTTTCCATTGACTCCTTGTAACGCTCTTCAACAGGGTCGCCCACCTGCAAAAGACCAAATCCCCAACCTCTGTTAAAACCGATTTATTGAGAACAAAATTTCTTAACACAATAAAGTGTCATCATATGCAGTACCTTCTTCAGCTCCTCGAGCTTTGCAACATAAACACCTTTAGTCTCATCTTCCCCATCTTCATACAACCAATCCTCTACTTCCTGCAGATTCGCCAAGAATGCTTCCCTCTCTGAATCGGTGATATATTCCTGGTATTTGTCACTCAGCTGAAAACAAAACACGTCAATGCCCTATACTCTACAACTGAACCATATAATTGCATATCCCGACGCAGAAAAGAAAAAAGAAGACAAGGATTCTCACTTTGTTTCGCATATCATAAACATAGGACTCGACAGCATTCTTCTTGTCCTTGGTCTCCTCCATAACTCTGTCTTGCAAAGCCATCTCAAATTCTTTCTCCACAGCCTTTTGGATCTCCACAGATTGCAATGCACCGTAGACCAATTCTGACAGGGGTACATTTGTTTTCTTCACTTTCTTCTTCGGAGCCTCGGCCTGCAAATCCCATTAATAATACCAATTATTTTAAGCCTACAAGCGAATGAATAGAGCAAGCACTACTAGTTCAGCTCAGTAGAGAAACGAACCTTTGAATCAGTTTCCATTTGCACCGGCTTATCCGCAGACTCACCATTCTCTGCACCAGCTGCATCAGTGGTTTCCTTCGCATCCTGCATGTTAACATCAGAGTCACCAGAAGCAGGAGCTTTGTCAGTGTCCATCTTAGTAGTTTCCTCTGATTGTTCTTTCGAGACTGGAACTTCAACTTCGTCCTCTTCCAAAAGCTGCAATGAGGGAAGAGAAAAAGTTAGCATACATTTAAAGGACCTCCAAGTTCATAAAGGAAGACTGGCTGATATAATAGTTATCAGTTATTAGAGAGAATGGGCCTTTAAATAGCACACCTAAAGAACCAAGTGCAGTGGATGATAACATTAGTTATAATATAACAACCAAACACTTACAGTTGCTGATTCAGCAGAGACGATTCCATGCAGGTTCAATCTAACTTTCACTTTAAGCTTTGCTCTGTCGCCTTTAGATGACTGGAAGGGACCAATCTACAAAAAGGAGATCAACCATGAGAAAGAAACAAGAGCGCTACAGTCTTAAGCAGTCATGACAATGGTGGAAGTCAAACTGTGTATGTGCTGATTTTTGGTGGTGCTTGCAAGTCTGTCACATCATCGTACTGCACATCGACAGTGAATGTTCCAGAACGGTAAAACGTTAGAGCCTTGACACTAGGAATGGGATTTCCTTTAGGGAAAACAATGGTGCTCTGCTGATTCTCAGCTCCTCCGTTTTGAGCATCAGAAGCTGCTCCTTTCCATGCCAGCGAAATTGAGAATGGGAAGCTCTCATGAACCTTCAGAGGAAAAAAAAAAATCATAATACAACTTATTAGAGAAGCTAAGAGTAAAAACAGTTCTCGAGCTGCTTATAAGTAATAGACTAGAAACCATATTTATTTTAGCATAGACCTATCACCTGGAATTCGCGAACTTTAAAGGTCGGACTGAGAATGGCACACTGCAAGGCACATCCCCTTGACACACACTCACTTGCATTCATTGTACGCCTGGGCTCCTTGCCAAAAAACTCCGTTAGGATCTTGATGATAGCAGGGACACGAGAGCCAGAGCCAACAACCTCGACCATATGTATATCTTCAACTGTGAGGCCTGCGTCAGAGAGAGCTTTCTCCAGAGGTCTCTTAACACGTTCCAAAATTGGGATGCTGATCTCTTCAAACTCTTCCCTCTTTATGACACCCCTAACGTCTTTCTCATCCATCAAACACTCGATATTCAAAGGTGCCACAGGATTTGCGCTTAGAACCTTCTTCAGCTTCTCGCACGCAGCCCGGAGCCTGAGACAAGCCTTAGCATTCTGGGAGACATCAATCTTGTACTCCTCCTTGAATTTGGCAGCAAAATGATGAAAAAGAGCTTCGTCAAAGTCCCTTCCCCCCAGCGAACGATCAAAAGCGTGAGACAAGATTTTGAGCTGCCCTTTTTTGAAGCCTGCAATGCAGACTTGCATGCTTGCGTGTCCAACGTCAATGAATGCGACATTGAGCTGTTCACTCTCGGGCAAATCTGTCTTATAAATACCATATGCCAAAGCTGTTGCTGTTGTCTCGTGGATCAGGCGCAGCGGATGCAAGCCTGCAATTGTCGCTGCATCCAGAACGGCTCTCCGCTGGAGGTCGGTAAAGTAAACAGGAATACCAATACAGCAGTCCACCACTGCTGCACTCATATTCTTCTCGGCAATGCCTTTCAAGTTAGAAAACATCATTCCCATGACCTGAGTGGGGGTAAAGGCTCTCATCTCTCCCAAGTAATTAGCATGGATCAATGGATACCCATCTGGCCCTTCCGTGACAGGGAAGGGCAGAGATTTGATGTCCCTTTGCAGCTCAGGGTCGGAGAACTGGCGACCAACTAGACGCTTGATTTGGGAAATAGAATTTTTGGGGTTCATCATGGTTGAAGCGGCTCCAGCAGTGCCGATGAAGCGCTGTTTCTCGCCAAAGCATACGATAGCGGGAGTCTCACGGTTTGACTCATCATTAAGCACAACGTCGATACCTCTTTGCCTTGCAACAGCAACAAGGCAATTCTCGTTTCCAAAATCAAACCCGACTACACTCATTTTCAAGCTTTGTTTTCTTCTTCAACACTGGGGCCTCCAAAGTATTTGACAGCAACCTTATTGATCAATGAAAAAATATGAGATTAGAATAGTGAAACAGCGATCAAAAACGATTCTCCATAGATAAGATTGCTTTCTTAAACTATCTTACTGAAAACTGATTGCATTAACATGAACACCTTAAACCCTTAAAACTGCTATAAAACCCGAAATATATCAGATATCATTAGGAGCTCGGTGAGCAGAGGAAGCTATTATATACCCAGGAGATCTCATTACTAGTATCCGCCAAACCTAAAATTCAGTGGGAGTTTCCTCAACGGTTACAATCAGTCAAATAGCGAAACCAGAGAATCTAATTCAAATCTAAAAATCACAGAGCAGCTTCAGATCTAAAAGATCTGCGACTGATTATTGAAGAGCGTTAGAGAGGAGCTAGCTCCAGAATCATACCTGAATCGCGCGAGAGAGGTTTGGTTGTGGAAGCTTCTACCCAAATCTGGGTCGCAGCGA